AGTAGTAACAGTCTTAAAAACAAACAAACACATGGTTTCACATTCTTCCAGGCATGTTGCTTTATTACAACATAACCTTGTATTTTCAAAGTCTATCGCAAAAATAAATAGAGTGTATACTAATAAGAGATGAGAGGTGAGATAAAAGGCTATACCCGTTGAATTAATTTCATAGAATCATAAAAAAGTGAAGTTGGAAGGGTCCTACAAGGCCATCAAGTCCAACCCCCTGCTCAATGCAGGAATACAATCAAGCCATATCTGCCAGGTGATTACCTAAGTTTTTATTGAATGCCTCCAGTGTTGGAACACTCACCAGCTCCTGACGTAACTGGTTCCACTGTCATATTGCTCCAACATTTAGGTTTTTCCTGATGTTCAACCAAAATCTGGCTTCCTTTATCTTGAGCTCATTGTTGCATGTCCTGCACTCTGGGATAATCGAGAACAGATCCTGCCCCTCCTGTGTATGACAGCCTTTCAAATAGTTGAAAAGTGCTATCATATCACCCCTCAGTCTTCTCTTCTCAAGGCTAAACATGCCCAATTCTTTCAGCTTTTCCTCATAAGGCTTGGTTTCCAGCCCCCTGATTATCCTTGTCGCCCTTCTCTAAACTTTGACTGCTTTTTACCTGCCCCTCGTTCAATAGAAACATTAGAAAGTTAATTTCTTTGCTTCAAATAAAGTACTATAGGTGGCACATTGATGGCAATTTCATTATCAGATCATACCAATTCAAAAGTGGCACCACAGTTGAAAAGGATTTTCCTCATGAACATCCATCTGATCTTCCCTCGTAACAGAAACTCACCATGATATTGTAGAAGGCAAGGGCACTCAGCTGATCACTTTGAGCATTAAGACACTACAAGCCAGCATGCTGATGTATGCTGACTAATAATTTCTTGCCTGTTTCTAGCTGTATGCCCCCTCTTCAACTCTTTGGTTCTTAGTTTCTTCATCATGATGTACAAACCCAACAGGAGTGCTCTGAAAAGCAGATAAAGCCTCTGGCTCTCCCAAAACCCATAGAGCCAGATACTGCCACAACAAAATAAGAATGAACCTAAGGTCAGTACTCTGTTTAGCCCAGGGCTCTCAAACACGCGGCCCACCGGATGATACTTTGTGGCCTCTGTCTTGCCTGCCCCCCAAAGCACTCACGCATCCTCTGCTGTCAAAGAGTTAAAAAAAGCCTCACCTTGTTCGCCAGGTCTCTACCAAGACAGCGCCTGTTGCACCCTCCATCCGGAACTGCAGCCTGTCAGCTGGCCTGTCTGCCGGCCTGTCTGCCGGCTGGCAGGCTACAATTCCGGATGGAGGGTGCAAAAGGCGCTGTCTTGGGGGAGAGCCGGCAAACGAGGTGCGCTGCCAGCCCTTTTCCCCAAGCGCCTGAGCCGCCGCCAAGCAATGCCTGAGAGCGGAGCTCGCTCCTGGCCCATCCTTGAAGAGCGCCAACAGCAGCTGCCGTCGCAGCGGCCTCTTCCAGGGAAGCAGTTCTCTGGCTCTCTCTCTCTCAGTACCCCCAGCACCAGCCTGGCCAGTGGCCACCTCAGTGCCCAGCGGTGCTTCCTCCTCCTCCTCCTCCTGCTTCAGCCGCCTCAGCTCTGGAGGCTGCCTGGGCTCGCCTCACAAAGTTTACTCCTCTGTTGTGGTGGGGGTAGCTAATACTGCTGAGTGTGCCTTTTTTTTGAGGGGGAGCTCAGAGGAAAGTTGCCGGACCTCCGTGTGTGTGCGTGTGTGTGCGTGCGTACCGGCAAGGTGTGCCTTGTTCTGTTTAATTTCGCGGGTACCAGTGAGGGCTTTTCTCCTTTGGCAAGGTGAATTCTGTGAGGGTTTTAAAAATATTTTATGTCGTACCCTCCTCCCCCGGGCTAGGCGGTCACCGGTGCTCCCTCCCTTCTCCGCTTCTTCGTCCTGCTGCTGCTGCTGCTGCTGGTGGTGGTAGTGAAGCAGGAGCTGGAGGGGTCATGGCTGGCGACGAGGGCTCACGCGCCCCTCCTCCTTGGAGCCCCAGCCGGGCTAAGGAAACCCCTGGACAGCTTCCTCTGGCTCTTGCTCCACTTGGCAAAAGTCTGATGTGGCCCAGCCTCACCCAGACTCTGCCTGCAGTGGCCCCCAGGTAAATTGAGTTTGAGACCCCTGGGTTAGCCTCTGTGTGGCTTGTGGTCCTCAAGGTCATTATAGTGCCCTTCCAACCCTCAAATGCCCCTGCAACAACAACAAACAGCCAAAGTAAGTTTTCCTATGTACTATACATGCAATGCTTGCATGTAACATATAGCCACCCTCCAACCCCAAAATTCCCCTCAGACCCCAACATTAAAATCAGTAGTGAGCATCCAGCCATTTGTAGTATTGATTGTGGACAGCCTTTTTTTTTTTTTTTTTTGCATAATTCCGGATGCTGGGGTAAAAACGTGGCTATCAAAATTTTTAAAAAAGTTGCTCATCTCTGCTCAAACATAATGTTGATCATACCTGGCAAACCAGAACCCCACAGAACCCTGCTGTAGTCATGATATGGGAACTAGAGTGCTCCATACCAAAGAAATTGTCATAGCTTAGTCATATCATATGAGTGGCTCTTAAATACACAAAAGTCTTGGATTTAGAAGCAAACAGGCAGAGGTATAACAGAACAAGATTTCAGAGACAATAAGAACAGTCCGAATCACGGAAATGCCAAAGGATAAAAAAATACTACTCTATTAACAGGACATACTTTTACTGTTCATAGACTGTTACATTCCATTTCCCAGGGCCATTGATTCAATTGGTTTCCTCCAGTTGACACCAATAGCTAGATTTAAGCCACAGATGTGAACATTGATGAAAGAAAGTCTGTCTTTACTGAATAACTTAGGGCAAGAGGGATAAAAAATTAAGTCACCTTTTAGATATAGAAAGAAACAACAACATAACATATTGGATTCACAAACATCTCTCAAAGCAATCATTCACAAAGGAGAGAGAATCGCCATTTAAGCCTCCTCAAAAACAACAGATCTTGATTATTACAAAGTGCTACAAATCTGCCCCCATATAGTGCTAGTGTAAGGCTTAACTTTTTCACTCACAAAGCATGTTCTAGGATTAAACAAAGCTTGTCCTAGACAGGGAGGGGAGGAAATAAGAATCTTCAACCCATAACTGCCACTCTTAATCATTCACCTGAATAAAAGCCACAAGTAGGGGCTCCCTAGCTTTTAAAAGAAAGCAATACTGTACTGAAAGTTAAAACTGCAGCATCAAATGAACAGTAGCTAATAACAAAAAGGCCACCAACGTGGGGGAAATGCACACCATACACCACCAGTTTCTGTAGGGAAGATAACATGGAAACCTCTCAACAACCTTATAATATGGATCGAAATGCACTACAATCTCTGGAATTCGCTCCTGCATGGAATTGCAGCCTAACTGAAGTCCAGAATTCTTCCGTACTGATTCATGGCAATTTATATAACTTGTTGAATTCACCCATAACAGGACAGCTATTATCTGCTTGGCTAAAGAGCATACTGAAATATTAATACGAATCATACATGTGTTTTCTGTGCAATGGAAGATGAATTCCAATAAGCTATATTGTTCACATTTCCAAAACTCTGTTTATAGCTACAGGTTTTCATCACACCTACTGGTGTCACACAAAGATAAACAAAAAAACTAAGATTAAAAACAAGCCACAAACCCAACAATGAAACCACATTTTGTATGGATATCAACCTCACGAACACTGGTAATCAGAGATCACCAGAATGGTAGTCAGGAACTATGTAAGATTTGGGACTGGAGTGATGTAATAGAAAAAGGACACAGATTTGGAATCAGGCTGTAGTTAACATGCAGCTAACCTAATTTTTAATACTGACTTTTTTTTACACTTCCCAAAAGGAAGAGGTCTGAAATCGCATTTGCTGACATATTTCCCAGCTATAACTGATACAATAAAAAAGTTGGTATGCAAACTATGCAGTTAACAGGACTACTTCTTTTTATGGAAATTCTTTTCCACGTTTCCACAGAGGCAGGCATATTAGTCTTTTATAATAAATAACAAAGAGTCATGTGGCACTTTAAGGACTAAAAAAATTATTACAGGATGAGCTTTCCAAGCACAGTGTACACTTCCTTAGAAGTATGGACTACAGGTTGGAGGTTACAGAAATGTGTGTGTGTGTATACTGTATATAGGTTGGGAGTAAGATACAGACTGTGGACTTAAGGTCAATTTAAAGGTGTACTTCTTCTGTGACAATTACCTTAACAAACATCCTGGTATGCTAAGAATCTGTTATCTGATGCTGGCGCTCCTTAAGGAGCAGTTCTTTCGGTGCCTCTTAAATCTTGCGTTTTATACTCAGGAAAGTATTTGTGCTGGACAGAATTTTTATCTGTTATGTATCATACCATGAAGTTTGAGGCATCAGCTTTTCCTCAAACCAGCAGCCCCCCCCCCGCAGCTCGCCCGACAGATGGTACTATTCTCATTTTACACCTCAGTGGCTTCTTTGGCCAGAAACCCTAAACGGTTTGTAAGGCAGATGCCTCGCTAAAACGCAGGCCGAGGCAAAGAGGCAGTCCCGAAACCAGCAAAATCAGGGAGCTGGACAGGGGACAGATTGTATTTGTCTTCAGTGTGGAAAGGGATTGTCACTCTCCAATCGGCCTCCTCAGCCACACTAGATGCTGTTCCAAGACCTCTCTATTCTCGAGACTGAAGGATGCCTACCAGGCTAAACGCCCAAAGAACTAGGCTGGCAGCCGCAGTCCAAGCTGCGGATCGCGCCTTGGGCGACCCAAGCGGCCGCAGACCTTGTAGGGACAAGGAAAGGCTTCCGAGGTCTGGACGTGAGAGGGCTTCTTACGCCAGCTGGGCGATCCGCCTTGGCCGGGTTGCGGAGGCCGACCAGTTCCCATCCTCTCGTCTCCCGTCCCTCCACAACCCCGATCCCTTCCCTTCCCGCCTTCTGCGCAAACTTAATCCACTCACTCTTGGTGGCGGCGATCAGGTTCTTGCTATCCTTGAGGAGGTCTTTAATGAACTTGTTGGTTTTCTCAAGCTCCGCTTCGTGGGATCGGATCTTCTCGCGGAACCAAGGGCTGTCCAGGTAGCAATCGCTGAACTCCAACGGCTGCAGTCCCATGGCTGCTGAGGAGCGGCTCTACCGGATTTCTCCTCGCAAATCCCTCTTCGCTCGGCGTCTGAAACAGAAAAAAAAAAACAAACTCGCCTTGGGTTGTTGTTGCTTTTGTTTCTCCCCTCCCCTGTCTCTCCTCCAGACCAGAGCTGCTCCCCACAGCGCCTCACCAGGGCAAAACAGGCGGCAAAATACCACAACACCCTGCAAAACGCAACATGGGATCCGGTGCGCTGAAGAGCCCTGTACGAAACAGGGGATGAGGGAGAACAAAAAAAAAAGGGAGCTTCTCGGCGGCAAAAGACAAACAAGCCCCACAGCCAGCTGGCCTCTCACTGGGAGCCGCCTCAGGGGCACGCCGCTAGAGGTCAAGAAGACGCCAGCAAGGCTGCGAACGAGAGCCCTCCTCTGAGGAGCCTCTCGCGGCTTCCCGGCGGCGGGAAAGACAAGAGAGAGAGAACAACTCGCGTCTTTACCTCAAGCCAGCGCCAGGGAGAGAAAGAGAAAAGAAGAAAGAGGGAGAGAGAAAGAAAGAAAGAGGGCGGCTCCGCCTAGACGCTCCAGGCCCGCCTCCTAGCAAGCCTAACCTCTGGCCCGACAGCCGGCGGTCTCTCTGCCTCTCGTTCTTCTTCTTGGAATGCTAGGCAGCCCGACCTTTGCCTGGCGGCGCCTCCCTTGATATGCTTAAAGACTCTGTACCATAGGCAGAAAACCACACTTGCTCAGTTTTATGTTACGACGACTCACAGGCGCTGTGGTGAGCGGTGGAAGTGACCCCCTCAAGACTTCTCCCCTCTTTGACTTCGCTTTCATTGCTCCCGACATTATTCCCTCGACCCGTTCCGAGCTCTAAATTCAGTTAAAAGTACTGTAATGTAGGAGCCGGGAGTTTCCTACCATGCGCATCATACCTCAACACTGGCCTGCTTGCCTTGGACTGGAGGGAACAGGGATTCAAGAGCAATTGAAAGGGCACCCACTCCCTGGTTCTCCTCCATTAAAGAACAGATTGGTTTAATGGCAGGTATTTTAAATCCGCCTTCCCCATAGGCTGCTCCCGAGGCAGCGAATAACAATACGATCAAGAACACCGACGCGACTAAAATGTTTTTAAACAGGAGCAGCAAACAATAATTGCAGGCGTTGGTGGTGCTGAATAAGTTGCAATACTATTTATTTATTTATTTAGACTTCTACACCGCCCATCTGGCTACAAGGCGGTTTACAACACAGCAAAACACTTTAAAAATATAGAACACTATGGTTATACAGAAATCAAAATCAAAATTGCAACATGCGATCAGAAATACCAAAACAACATCAACGGAAACACAAAAAGGCTATGTGTGCCATTGAGGCAGTCATTCCCAAAGAAAGATCCTCGGACGTGAATAGAAGTTGTTCTCTATTGAAAGGAGGCTTCCCAGCGATTGCTGAAAGGACCCAAACTCGTCACTGACAGACAAGTTTTGTTGTGCCCGGTGTTTCCGCCACCTTGAGAAGGGACCTCAGGGGTTTCAGATCTTTCCGAAGAAATCCTCCTGAATTCAAGTCTACTGTTCCAAGTCGACCCTAAAAAAAGACTGCACTGTAACCATAATTTTTAATTGACGAAATAACGCCCCCGCTGGGTGTGGCGGCGAGGAGGAGGCGGCAGCGGCGGCGAGGCAGGCCTACGAAGAAAACCGCCTGGCCCCGCCCCCTTCCCCCCCCTCCGGGACCGCAGGGCCGCCTCCTCCTCCTCCTGCTGCTTGCTTGCTTGCTCTTCCGAGTCTCCTTCCCCTGCGTCACCACCACCACCTGGTCAACGCGGTGCTCTCGCGCCTTTCTTCAGGCAGGAAGTGCTCCGCGAGGGAGAAGGTGGGGCTGCGCCGGGAGACGGGAATGTGTCTGGGGAGCGGAGAGGGGCGGGAAGAGGGAATCCTTTTTCGGGCCGGAGAGTGCTCTCTAGGCGAGGCCAAGGGCAACCCGCGGGCGGGTGCGAGGAACGTCGTCGTTCCCCTTCCCCTCCCCCCCAAAGCCGGGCTCTCCCTTCCACATCAGAACACGACAGAGAGGGGGTTGACTTTGGTGCACCTGGTGAGTACTGTACGTGAGAAGCCGAGCGCCTCCTAGGCGTGCACCGTTCAAGGCAAGGCAATTGATGGGACGGATGTTGTTGGACTGCAACCCCCATCATGCCTCTGCTTTGACCGTGCTTGCTGGTGTGATGGGAGTTGCAGTCCAAACACATGAGCAAAACCTCGGGCTCCCTGCTCCTAATACAGTACCTGGTTCTGGTGCGGGTGCTTCTTCCTCACATTCACAGGAGGGAACGGAAGGCACAGATACCCCTTACACCAGCTGCTGATCCGTCGAAATACTGGCTGTTTCCCATATTTCTTCCCCCCCCTTCTTTCCCCCCCCCAACACTCTTTGTTTTCTCCTGTTTTCATCAGCTTTAGTTACAGTTGAGTGAAAGTGGTTATCTAGGTGTCTTGCCCTGAGATAGGATCAGCCGTGTCTGACCACATTGGAAAGAGATGAACACTGGTTTGCTCGTCCTACAGGATGACCATTACAGTAGTGGAGGGAAAAGACTTGTGTTGGTGCAACTCTGCTGATTCGTTTGTCCTGTCTCCAACGGAAGGGCAATGGCCTTTTTTCAGTTCTCAGCTCATTTAATTGGCAGGTGGATGGGTCACTAGGTCTTAAGCTGCCATTGAAAAACACAGTAGAAGATTCTGCAAACCTAAAGTCTGGCCATCTGCTCTACTAACCAATTGCAGGATTGGTTTCAAGGACAGAAAGTGCTTGAGGGAAGCCAGCAACTTCTCAGGATGATGCAACAGATGAAGATGAGCAGAATATGACTGTAGCAATTCCAGTTAGTATGTCCACATTTGAATCCCCCTATGGTACATTGGGAGGCACACTCTATAAAGCCTAATGAGCAGTGAAACTACAACTTCCAGGAAGTACTGCAGCAGCTTCCTGTTATATATATTAACAACAGGAAGTAAAGGCTAGAGAAGGCCATGCAGCCTTAGATGTAGGCCCTGCTCCAAGTGAGTGAAATGTAGGTGTCTGAAGCTATGTTTATGGGCTGAATCTCCCAGAATTCTACCTGGGCAATTCTTGGACAACTCTGGAAGCTGGAATGTGGAAAAATGAAAGAGAACAGCCCAGTTGTTAACACTAGTAGTCTAATCACTTTCCTTCCATCTGTTAGGAACCAACATTGCATCCATTGTCCAGAGCAGAGTAAATTCATTCTTAGATCCTGTTTCTATAACTGTGTTATTGAAAATACAGTATTAAAAAGAGTAGTAAATAGATTTGCAAGATGTCACTTGTAATTTTTTTTAAGAAACCTGATTTATTTTGTAGTAGTTGAGCTCTAATGAGTACTTGAATGTTAAAACAATCATGTATGTGTAGTTTTCAAGTCTTGTTTTGCTTTGGCAGGGGAAAGTGCAATTAATTTCAATTCAAAATGCCTAATTCTAAAAACAAATCACGGCGTAGGCATAAAGTTGGTCAAGAAGCTGGGAGAAATGAATTAGTCTCTAGATCATTGCAAAGTGCTCAGCATTGTCTGGAGGATCAAGACTATGGAACTGCATATGCTCACTATCTTTTGGTATTAAATATAGCTCCTGAGCTTAAAAATGATGTCAAGGTGAGGAATTTTGTGTTATTTCTTTTCCTATGTCAAATAAATACTTGTAGTTATATGTTTAAAAACTCTGTACTATAGGCAGAAAATCACACTTGCACAATTTATTTTATGTTGATATCTATTTACCAGTAGAAAGCATTTTATTTCTATGGACAAGTTAGTCATGTCAGCATATATGTCATTGTCATTTTTCTCCAGGAAACATTTCAGTTTACCCTTTTGAAATGGGCAGAAGAACTGGATTCTCTTTCAAGAATTCAAGATTTATTTGACTGCTATGAACATGCCCTGGAGTTGTTTCCTAATGATGAGGTCATATGTAACAGCATGGGGGAGCATCTTTTCAGGTTTGTATGTAACCTTACTGTGTTATATTTTGACTGAGTCTTCAAACCCCTGAGGTAGGGAAAGATCTCTCTTTGGCTACAGCTCCAAGAATTCTCCATGAGCATACCTTTGATTGCTGGCAACAAGGCTCATCCTGAGTAGGATTTCACAGTGTTCCAGTAAAACTGCGGGTGGAAAAGGTCATAGTCTGAAGAAGGCTAAATTACAAAGGGGATTCTGGGAGCTGTAGTCCAAAAAATATCTTACCCAGTCTCTCTCTAATGCAGTGGTTGTAAACTCCCATGGGTTATGCACATTCAGTTAAATCCTTTCACGAACTGTTTAAGTGGATATGTGTTCTTAATTCTAAGGGCTGAAGTGTCCACCAGTGTTCTGGCTTCTGCTTAGTAGGGCTCTGTAATGGAAACTCAATATTTTACATTTCTGCAATATTTTTTAGTTTATGATTATCTTTATTTTTCATCATAATGTCAACTTCTATGACTACTCTGTGCATAGATTGCCACTACTTTTTCCCACCAATAATATGGACAATGAAGTACCTCAGTAGTTTGTTACCAATCTGTAGTTTTACCACAGCTATTTTTCTGAATGTTTGTTAACTAATAGTGTGACAAATGGCAAAATGTGCTCACATGCTAAGTATTTTTATATACTTAATGCAATTCAAGTATGATCATGGATGATACTAACCTAAATTACCATCTACTTTGTTTTGTAGTCCTAGCTGCCATGTGCCCTCAAAAAATGAAACATAAATTTTATGACACTTTAAATAAAGGTTCAACAATTTAATTGCTAGTTTGATGCTTTACATCATGTCAGTTTTTCCCTTTTAGAATGGGCTTCAGAGATGAAGCAGCTGCATATTTCTATAAAGCTGTGAAGCTAAACCCTGACTTTCTAGATGCGAAGGAGAATTTTTACCGTGTTGCCAACTGGGTAGTAGAACGATGGCACTTCATCATGCTTAACGACTCCAACAGGAATTTGCTGTATCAAAAAGCAATTCAGAAGGCAGCCCTTTCAGGGTGTAGAAGTGCTCTTGATATTGGAACAGGAACAGGCATTCTCAGGTTTGTTGTAACTTCATGTTTAACATTAATTGTTAATAAAGATCGTGAAAGGCTTTTGTTACTTAGCCTTCCTAAGGCTTTCTAATGTTAAGATCTTTTCCACCTCCAGTTTTGTTATATCCTGCTATTTCTATGATGTAGTGGATTCTAGCTCTGAAATTGGGTGGACCAAAGTGGAACTGAATAGATAAACAGAATTGAACATGCACCAGTCATAGTTCATTTTGTAGTTAAATGGGTTTAGTTCTTTTCAAATAATTATTAGATTAGATTAGGCATCCTTCAGTCTTGAGAGATTATGATAACGTGCTCTGTGTGGAGGACTTGGAACAGCGTCTAGTGTGACTGAGGAGGCCAATTCGAGAGTGACAATCCCTTCCACAATGAAGACAAATACAATCTGTCCCCTGTCTACTTCCCTGATTTTGCTGCTTTTGGGACTGCCTCTTTGCCTCAGCCTGCTGGACAATGGTCTCTTCAAATTGGGAGAGGCCATGATGCACCGCCTGCCTCCAGGCTGAACGCACAGATGTCAAGGTTTCCCATCTGCTGAGGTCCATTCCTAGGGCCTTCAGATCCCGCTTGCAGATATCCTTGTATTGCAGCTGTGGTCTCCCTCTGGGGCAATTTCCCTGCACTAATTCTCCATACAGGAGATCTTTTGGAATCTGAACATCAGCCATTCTCATGAATGTTTCATGTATTGTATATATTTTACATTTATGCCTGCCCATTGTGCTTCTTTTAAAGAGCAAATGCAATATTTTTAATAAGATGTCTTGTAAAGTAATTTTGATTTTAAATTGAAACTGTCTATTAACATTAGCCAGAAAAATAATTTATGATGATTTCTGTTGTCTTCTAATTTTGCAGTATGTTTGCCAGAAAGGCTGGAGTGTCTTCTGTCTATGCTTGTGAGTTGTCAAAGACCATGTATGAATTGGCTTGTGAAGTGCTAGCGGCGAATGGTTTTGATGAAGAAATCAAACTTCTGCATATGAAATCTCTTGATATTGAAATTCCAAAACACATTCCGGAAAGGTTATATGTTATCTACTGTCTCAATATCTTGAATTAATTAGTTTGTTATTCATCAAATTAGGTGATAAAATGTTCTGCAACACAACACAGCTAGAATAGCAAACTGTAATAGTTTATGAAATGTTAATCTTTTCCAATTTTTGGACAGGATGTGCTTTTCTGTGTAAGTTCTAGTCTTGACAATATTTTTAAGGATCCTATAGATCCCAAGAAAGATGAATAAATGGGAACTAGATCAAATCAAGCCTAAAAGAACAACTATACTGCGGCTATTATACTTTGAACATATCATGAGAAGACAAGAAACAATGATCATAGGAAAATGTAAAGTAGTGGGGGGGGAGATGTAATATGAGATAGATTGATTCAGTGAAGGAGGCCATAGCGTTTAGTTTGCAGGAACTGAACATGGCTGGTAGTGATAGGATCCTTTGGAGGATTTGAATTCATAGGTTTGCTCTAAGTCAGAAAAACTTGATGGCACATAACAATAGTAAGAAGAAATGTGCCAGGGTTAAAGGTAAAGAGAAAACAATTCCCATCACATCCCTTTTAATATTATTTTTTTTTAATTACAGTCATGTGCTTTTTCATATAGTAGCCAGTTTCGTATTGCTGATTTACACAAACATAAAGAAAGTTTGCTGAGTCCTGGCCACACATTGTTTCCTACTAATGAGGTGCTGGCTGTATTCCTGGCTGGGTGCCTGATCGTGTTTTGAGGTGCATACTCAATAAGACAATGATTTCCTTTATGCACATGTAAATCAGCAATAATACTCTGGCCAATTTCTAAAAATTATAGTTGTGTATAGTTGTTAAAAGCTATCCTGCTGTTTTTAATTACTTAATGACCCACAGTTTATCATTTTGTGTCATATGATATGTGTGTTATACCATTGTCAAATAAGAACATTTGTGTTGATCATACATGCACACACACCTCAATATTTGGAAAAGATAATTATGTAATATCCCACAAGTGAGTTAAAATTCATTGTGATGTTTTGTGGGGGGTTGGTATATGATTGTTTGCCAAGGTTATGAGCACAGATTAAATCATATAATCTTAGGCTTGTAGACTTGGAAATGTCCCTAAAGATCATGTAGTCCAATACCCTTCTGATGCAGGAAATCCACAGCAAAAGCATCCCTAACAGTTGGCCATCAAACCATTGTTTGAAAACCTCCAGTAAAAGGTTTTTTGTCTCAAATTGCATAATTTTCCTCTGTCATTAAACAAGGTGGCTGTTGCATCCTTCCTTTCTCTTATAATTGTTTATTTAACCATTTTAAAATAGAGTTTCCCTGGTTGTCACAGAAACAGTAGATTCCGGTTTATTTGGAGAAGGAATTGTGGAAAGTTTGATCCATGCTTGGGAGCACTTACTTTTACCACCAAAGGTTAGTATTTCTGGGTGTCTGAAAACTAATCTGAAAGTTCCTTGACAGTGTTCTTGCTTCCAGTGTGATTAATGTTCAAGTGCCACAAAGATTTTAAAACTTTTTTAAAATTGTTATTATTATTATATAAAGGCCATCACATAAACAGAGAACTAGAAATGTGACACAGAAATGCAAAGCAGTCATCATGTCAGAGCAGCTTGATGGCACAGAACAACAACAAACATCTTACACTCTCACAGTCACACAGGTCTTCCATATCTGAAGGCTAGATAGCACAGGCACAGAGTCTTGCCACACAGTTCATGTGGAAAAAGTCATACAGTGGACCCTCGACTTACAGACGGCTCAACTTACAATTCATGTGGAAAAAGTCATACAGGATTACTTTCAGTTTTTAAAAAAGCCAGAACTATAGAATTGCATTTTTTGGCCATGGTCATGTTCTGACTGAACCTTAAGAACACCTTAAAGATCCTAGCCTTATTTATTTGAATTTTCACTGGCATTGCCATTATATATCTTGTGTGTATGTGTGTCTGTGTGTGTGTGTGTGTGTGTGTGTGTGAGAGAGAGAGAGAGAGAGAGAGAGAGATTTAAAATAACGTTTATAAAAGAGCATGATTCTTCCCTTCATAGTCAATACTGGTCAAAAATAAAATCCTTTCTCCCTGATAGAAATGTCTATCAAAGCAGAATCCCTTGTTGATCCATTGTTGTCAGATTACTTTCAGTTTTAAAAAAAGCCAGAATTGCATTTTTTGGCCATGGTCATGTTCTGACTGAACCTTAAGAACACCTTAAAGATCCTAGCCTTATTTATTTGAATCTTCACTGGCATTGCAATTATATATTTTGTGTGTGTGTGTGAGAGAGAGAGAGAGAGAAAGAGAGAGAGAGATTTAAAATAACGTTTTTAAAAGAGCATGATTCTTCCCTTCATAGTCAATACTGGTCAAAAATAAAATCCTTTCTCCCTGATAGAAATGTCTATCAAAGCAGAATCCCTTGTTGATCCATTGTTGTCAAAATTTCTGAGACGGTATAGCAGATGGTATACTATCTCAGACATTTTGATACTGGACCATTAAGAGGTTCTGTCATGATATACGTTTCTGTCAGAGAGACGTAGCTCACTGAATAGCTCAAGTAGCTTTAGGTATCTGGCTGCAGAGTCAGAGGTTAGGAGTTTTATTCCCCACTTTGCCTCCTAGGAAAAGAACCAGCCTGTGTGACTTTGGGAAAGGTGCACAGTCTCAGGGCGTTCCCCAAAAGAAGGGAAAGGTGAATATTCTTGACCTGAAAAACCCTGAAAAGAGTCACTTTAAATAAGAGTTGCCTTGATGGCACATGATTCACTTCAAATAAGAGTTGCCTTGATGGCACATGATTATTTTATTATAGCAAATGGTGACAATTGGAAGACATATAGCTATAGTAGTGAATTTTTTTTTCTTCAGTAAGTATACTGACTGGCCAAAAATAATCTTCCTAAAATATTAGTGTTATCAATGGCATTTCCCATCATTTGAGCTCAAGCTTGTCTTGAATGCTCTGAAAATAGTTATCTTCAATATCTAGTAGTACATTTTTGTTACTAGACAAAGTGAGTTCAAGAATTATCCACCCAATGATTTCTTATTTTTCATAGCTCAGTAAAACATGATGACACAAAATTTAGTTAGATTGGGTGCACTGTTTTAACTGAAATGTGGATATTTCTGCCTAACATGTGAATCCTAAATTAGTCTAGTTGTATGGTTTTATATCTTCATTTCTTTCCAGCCTAATAATGCTGGAGTTGATGCTGAAAATTATGGCCGAGTTATACCAGCAGGAGCTGCCATCTGGGGTATGGCAGTGGAATGCAAGGAGATACGTAGACATCACAGGTATATTTGAACTTCTGATATATGTTTGTTAAAGCTGTTTAAACTCTTCACAGTGGTGATGAAGTGCTTCCATTTAAAGAAATTGTTTTTCTTTCCGTTTCCCTTTGGTTAGGTTTTATGCTTGGATTCCACTGAACAGTTCTACAAGCGTGGATAAAGTATCACCATACATGGAAATATAAATAGTACAAACATTAATTTAGAGCCATCTGAACTGACATTCAGAAATCAACCTTTTGGCAATGACGTCCTTGTCTTCCTGCCTGCAGGATTTCACATGTACATTTTTCATTCTTTATTTAGAGCCCTGCTCTTTTTTATTGCTGCAATTAAAAAATGCAGTTATATAATTATACAGCTTGTTAGATAACCTAATGCTTGCATGGCAGTCCCACATACCGAGAAGTATATTTGTTTGTAAACTAAAAGAAACATTTGTTCCAAAGTTCAGAAATGGCTCAATGACATTCTTGGTGACCTCCAAGCCCTATGGAATGTTGGAGGCAGATTAGTTAAAGAATGTTAAAAATGTCATTTGGGGAAAAAGGAGAGAATGGAGGAAGATGAAAAAAAGAATTCTTTGTGAGCCTCTGATATAGCAGATTTGGAAAGCATTGGCTACTCTCCAGTTGAGATAAACTACTAAGAGTGAAGTGAGAATGGGGTGGGTGGGTTGGTGCCAAAGCAGATTTGCACATGTGCACCAGAGACACAGAAATGAGAAAAGAAAACTTGATGTGGATGGGTTCCCTGCAGACACTTGAGAGGACCAGTGCAAAAGAGAGGCCAACTCTCAGATGTACTTAAATTAGTTTTACTCATTGAACAGGCCTAGCATAATTCAGTCAATTATTTTATGATGTTCTTCAGTGGCTGTTAAAAAGAACAGAGCAGTATAATAGCTATGGTAATAATATGTACAGAGAAATCCCATCAGGATTAAAACATCTAATTTACATCCATCTTCATACTAGACTTATATATGCCAATAATTTTAACCGTAACAGGCACCTACATACATTGTTAATATGTATGAAACCTGTGAATATGCATCTGGCTTAAATGTTTTTATTTTGGCATCTTATGTATCTCATAGTAGTGTCAGTTGTATTGTCACTTCCTTTATAGTAAATATTGAAAACACTGAAAAAAATATTAATTGGATAAAATGCACTGGGCCTGTTCAAGAAATGTAACTCGATTTTTCTTCATCTTGAGGCAATCTGTTCTTTGCATTAGATTTCAGAGAATATTTCCAGCTTACTTTGGATTTTGTTTCAACATGTCAGGAGATTGGTGCCAGCGATAGTTGTGACTCCGTCCAAGCTAGTTTATGGCTCTCACTGTGTTTACTTTGAATCGGTTTAGTTCTTAGGCTGAAATAGATTCCTCACTCCTGGAATATACCATTTTGAAAGAAGTAGATTCATGATTTGAGATTAAAATCATCTGCCTGGTATGGTCAGATTTTAGGACTGGAAAAAAGTCACATTTTTTCCTTTTCCAAATTCCCAGTAGCTTGCTCCCTCCGATATATTTCAGTAAAGCCAGTCTTAAACCTGAGTCCTATTATGGCACAGGAGTGAACACTGGAGGCAGGGAAATACCTTTTCTTTTTGGCTTTCTTGAACTGTCCCCTTCACAAAGACACCACTGTTATTATTACACAGGAATGCTTGTTAATAGATATCCAGTTGTTGCTCCCTAATACTGACTTTTGTTTTAATTACATATTGTAGGTTCTTTCTAGAATCTTTTGTACTGTCTTTAAAGTAAGTTTGAAAGCTGTTGCAGTAATGGCTACACAGTTAAATCTGTTAGCCATACATGACTTCCTAGCTTATAGAACATTTCTTGTGGCACTTGCTTTGCTAACTTGGTTGTTCACCAATTCTCCAGTAAAACATTAATCTTTATTGTTTGAAGATACTGGCCTACCTTCATGTCCATTTCTAGTTGTACTCTGTTACTATGGGCATCTCTTTCCATAGAATTTTGAAAATGCTTCTAAGAAAGTGACCAAAGGCAGCTCTGCATACTTACATATTAATGTAATTGTTTTTATCCTATTTTATTGACTTTTTTCCATATAAGGTATTTTTCTTATAAACTGCTCTGCTTTTGGTTGAAGAGAAAAAGATACACATTTCATAATGAAACAAAATAGCTAGGCAGCTTATTAAACTAAGCTCTTTTCAGACTTTCTCCTTAATTGAATTGATTTATCATGAAAAGAGATGCTGAATCATTTTATCTTGTTCAACCTTATTGTTTTTTTTTCAGGGTGGGTGTAAAAGAAATTGCTGGTGTGTATTTGCCAGAAGAACTGGAGTTCCACAGTCCAACAGACGCATCTGTAACCTCAGAGGAGAATCTTGAACCTTACACTACTGAAAAACTCAGCAGAGTTCCTGGTGGTTATAAGGCCCTTACAGAACACTTCCAAGTGTTCACAGTCAATTTTAACAACGTTCAGGTAACACTGTGCACAGAAGATGCCGAGTACAGAGAATGTTCAAACAATCATTTGCCAAGAATTTCACCAGGATAGGATTTTGTACAATTGCCCATGTCTCCTTGCCATGTTGATTAAGAGAAGGTCCCCACATATAGTACATATTCATCAGCAGAATCATGTGTCACACTTGATTAGCTTGACTGAGCTGATCAGCTTACTAGGCTCTTTCACACAGCTGGATGTCCCACTCATACAGATTCCTGCACATGAGGAGCTCCTTGTTTTCATGCACAGAACTATGGTAACAAATGGATATCTGTAGGTGGGGCCAGGAGTGCCACTTTTACCACTGGAGTCATTCAAGTAAGAAGGTTTATGAAAGAAAAATATTGAGAGTGACTTATGTTTTTTTAAAAGCTAGAGTTTTTGAAGCAAAACATTTGATTTGATTTTCCCAGTTTCTTGCAATTGTCTTTGAGAGAAATGCTAGAGCATCTCCAGATGTAATCCAAATGTCTCATTATCATTATACAATCTTCCTTCCTTCCTCATCAGCACTGCAGACAGCTGAACTTCATAGCAAAGATACTTAGGATCTCATATACCTCATCTCCCATTGACCATAGAAGTACCATGAAGTCTGCTGCAAATGTTAGACCATGCAGTGTTCCCATATCCCACATGTGTCTCTGTTGGTGTTTGTCAGGACTCTGTAGTACTGGAGAGGAGAGTGTACCCATCTATTGGGTTATGTCTTAATGTACACAAATGTAAAGGAACAAGTCCCAAAGTTTGAAATCCTTTATCTTCAATAAATCACTTTCATTAAATATGTTACACTATCTGCTAGCATTGAGTATTATGCATACTTTGTCTTATAATCATTTGAACCTTTTGCACTTTGTTGATTTCAGCTGGCACATAAAGCGAAGACCAGAATCATATAAAATCAGTTGGAAATTTTAGTTCTTTCCAGTAAATTTTATTTGCGTGGCACAGGAGACAGGATAAGAAACCTTTTTTTTCCCCAGGAATTGAAAAGCTTTGCAACCAGGAAGCCATCCAAGATTGACGTGACAGTTATTGAAGAAGGAATAGTAGATGCCATTGTGGTCTGGTTTACACTCCAGCTTGATGATGAACATACAATTTCTACAAGTCCAAGTGAGGACAGCTGTTGGGAGCAAGCAGTCTACCCAGTACAAGGCCTCCTTGGTATGACTTTGAGATTGCTGAGTGAGAGGGTTTGTATATTTTCTTTCAAGGAGCCAGCCAATTTGTTTTATGTGTTTAAGCAAAGTCATTTGTCATTCTTTGTTAGGATTTTTCAGAAATAGTTTTCACACTGTCCATGATTATATAAAAGTGAAGATCTCTAACATAGCCTGCTTACTGTGGGAGTACCATTTGACTGCATGCTCTAATGAAAAAGATTAAATCAGTTTAGTAGAAGCAGCTACTGAGTCAGTGCTATCAACTTATCATTTGTGCTGAATAACAGAGAAAGTTGAGACAAGCAAGATGCCCAGTGGGCAGAGAGCAAATGGATATCCAATGATTATCCAGTGATAAGCGTGGATTAAATGGAAGCTGTGATCTAAGGCAGTGGTTCCCAGCTTTGGATCCACAGATATTCTTCGACTAAAACTCCCAGAAGCCTTCACTACTAGCTGTGCTGGTCAAGATCTTTGGAAGTTGTAGTCCAAGAACATCGGGGGACCAATGTTGGGAACCACTGATCTAAGGGAAATTGATAATTATGGTACATACAAAACTGAATTCCACAGTTTTACACAACAGATCTGATGGTGCCTCTCAATAATATTCCTTTTCCCTATCCTGTGTTCTCTTTTATCATGATAATGCATTATTGAAACAATCTCAAAGTAATTTTTGCTTTCTGCCATAGAAATTTAGGTTTAATAATTTCAGTAGCTACACTTCAGAGATGACCTTGTGTGGGATGAATTTAACTACTGAATGCATTAAGACACTGGTTCTTAACCTTGGGTTACTCAGGAGTTTTGGACTGCAACTCCCAGAAGCCTTCACTTTCTGCCATAGAAATTTATGTTTAATAATATCAATAGCTACACAGAGATGACATTGTGTGGGATGAATTTAACTACTGAATGCATTAAGAGACCACCCAGGTTTCCGTTTACTAAAACAAGTGTGGCATGTACTGCAGAAGAAGGGAGTAGAGGCTGTACAAATTACTTTTTTTGTTCTTCACGATCACAAAGCCACTGCAAAAATAGTCAACATTTTAGAAAAGGTACTTGAAACTACCTTATTGAAGGCAATATAAATAATATTTAAATTTTCAATTTTTTTTGTCATTTAAAGATTACTCTGTAAAATCTGGAGATTCTGTTACAATGGAAATATCCTGCCAGGATTGCTATATAAGGATCCAAAAGATTTCCATTGTGACTGCTGATTATGGGATGGATGATGAAAGGAACTTGAGGGAGAAGAACAGTGAGGCTGAGCTGTGCAGTGCTCTGGCCAGTCTTCAGACAGCAAGCAAACGAGAAAGTACGCAACAGAGATGCATGGTGGAATCCACTGAGATTGCTTTACTGAACAATATACCATATCACGAATGTTTTAAAGCTGCCATTGGCAAGGTGCTGTCATCATTAAGTGTCCATGAACAGTCTCAGTCCATGGATGTGGATCGCCACAGTGATGCTGCTCTTGCAAGGAACCAAAGCAAAAACTCTGTGACTCCTGACCCTCTGTATGTTTTGGATGTATCAGAGGGCTTTTCAATCTTGCCAATAATAGCAAGCAAATATGGGCCTGTTAAGGCATACAGCTCAGTTGAAAAGGAGCAGCACCAAGTAGCTCTCAGTCTGATTTCAGAAGCAAATAGATGTCCAAAGGAAGCATTGGAGTTTTGGCTCAGCCAGCTAAAGGACGAAAACATGGTATTACAGAGGCCTAAATCAGACAAATTATGGAGCATTATAATATTGGATGTCATAGAGACTTCTGGTCTAATTCAGCAAGATGTGATGGAAAAGGCAGCAATATCCAGGTAATGTATGGCATTGATTCTCGAATCTCAGTCTTGTGAGGGGAAGAAGTGACATAAATAATATGTATTAATAAGCTTTCTGAACTATATTTTACTGCCCTGTATGCCTGTAAAATCTCTGTTAATTTGTTTTCAAATTATCTGTTATGTAACTAGTATGACATAATTTGAGGAGAGTATTATCTAAAAGATAATGACTTGCTAATTAGTGAATTCATGTGCAATAGGCCCTTTACAAAAATTAAAGCAGATTGTTGTAGCTCTTATGCTCTACCACATTTTCAAATAATGTATAGCTGCCGCTTAAAGTCCTGTCAAACTTGTTGCTCAAGCCCATGCTGAGCATAATACATACCTAATTTATGTCTTACATCAAGGATGGACAGAACACAGGCTTCTGGGGATGTACTTTGTTGTCGCTTTTTATAACCTCAAACTCCATCTTCTGCTCAAGAGTGAAATTGTGGATGTCAGCAGATGTAGATCTAGGAGAACAGGATGGCTTAGACCAAGAATGTGGTCATAGTATCCAAACTGGGCTTGCAGTTCTTTCACACAAAAATCCATTGCTGTTTTCTCTTCCAGGTTTTCATTATTTCACCCACCTGTTTTAGAACGATGAAGGAACCCATTTTGTGCTTGCAGTTGTTGAAGAAGTAGAGGTCACAAATGCTTGCAGAGGTTTTGGAAGTCACTCAGAAATAGATCCTAATTAGAGAGCTTTGTGGAACAGAATAGTTTTATTTGTTAACCGTTTTACATTTTTTTACACACAGGTGTTTGCTTCACTCTGGAGGAAAGATATTCCCACAGCATGTGAAGATGTATGGCGTGCTTGTAGAATCCAGGGCATTAGTACTTGAGACAGAAGTTCAAGGCACGGATCCCACACTTGGTTTCAACATTGCACCTTTTATCAACCAGTTCAAGGTATGAATTAAATGCTGTGGTCCTCAACCCAGATTAGGAGTACTCCCAGCAGTTAGGGATTTTCCCACACAAAACAGCTGACTCTATTTAGTATCATCCTTCCCTTGGGAGGCCAGGTTGGCCACCTCTGCGATATCCTTCCAGTGACAAGTAAAGACTTCACTTCTTCTCTAGGCAGTGCAGGGGAAAAATCCACACAACTGGGATACAACAGTACGTTATAGGTTTTATAGTGTGTTTTTAAAGGTTTTTAATTTGTTTTCAAATTTTCAGTCTTCAATATTATAAATCGTATTTTTTTTAATTTCATAATTTTATGTGGATGCATTTTTAATCCCTTTGTGAACCATTTTGCAGGGGAAAGGTGGGATAATGAATAAGTGAGTGAGTAAGTAAAGGTCCCTGGTTCTTTGTGTACCATTTTCAAGGGCCTGAAGGGGCCAGTCCAGACTGCACGTCCAAATCTAGATCCAGCCCTTAGTCACAAAGATTAGGGTACCACATAAAGAAACCATCCACATTTTGTGAAGGCCAAACTGCAGATTCAACCTTTGTCTTTAAAACAACAACAGCCTTCTGTGTGGTATGGAGAGAGCAGTCTGGCACAGGAAACTGCAAGTCAGAGACATCGGACATATCACAGAGATGCTCTGTATCCAGACCCATTTCTTATGTTCTACAAATAGTGTTACTACTGTTCCTTAAGGAAAGGTATAAGTAAGACAGATGGGAAGGTTCAGGAAGTTTTGTAAATTCCAATAGCTTGTTTCTGAGCAAAACTGGATACCTATTTCCTTCTTATTTTGAAAAATGTTTTAATATGAGCTACATCTGACTGGTGGAACATAAATTCTGACTTAAAATAGAATAATTTCTGATTGCAATGTGATGTCCTAGAAGCCTAGATTCTGGAAGCAGAGCAGTTGGAGCTCATTTCCCATTTTGGATCAATAGCACAGTATTGGCAGAGAGTAATTGTGTCTTGTTGGTATGAAAGATTACACAACCCTAAGGCTTCAAAATAAGTGTCTATATCAAGAAAGACCAGAACAGTCTTCTTTTTCACACCTGTGTCATGCCTCTGAAAAAAAACCATCAGAATGAATGTCTGTTTTGAAAAGAAACATTTTCTCTTCCAGGTTCCTTTCCGTATATTTTTGGATTTATCCACATTGCCACATGTTCCTTTAAGCAAGCCAGTGGAACTTATGCGACTGGATCTCATGAATCCATATTTAAATAGCTGCAATAGAGAAGTTAAAGTAAGTCCAAGAAGTAGTAGATGTTCTGTGCTGCACTTTATCACAATATAATGTTCACCTTGATTAACCTAAGTACAGATATTTCCTATATTGGGCATCTGGCATGTTCTGTGCATAATACTTTTGGTGTTCAGTTTTACTATGCATTATTTAATCTGACCTCTTAAAATGGAAATCCATGTTAGAAAAAGAAATGAAGTTATTTATACAGGCAGTATCACTCACACTCGCTTCTCAGTGCAAAAGAATACAGGGAAAGTTGGAGTTACCAATTCTTCCAGTAGAAGCAAGAAAACAAAAACAAAACAAAATTTAGTTCTCACTGAAATGCCAGTGTGAAATGTAAAGACAGATATAATGGTACCAACAGTCTTTAAAGCATCTCTGGATCTGCTCAGAAAGCATAGCAAGGAGCGCCACTCCATCCCAAAGCTGAGTTGCTATAAAATAATACCAACATTTTACTTTTGTAGGTAAAGGTTTGTAAAACTGGTCACATTACTGGTATTCCATTTTGGTATCACGTGTGTCTGGATGAAGATACTGTTTTGGATACGTCAAGCAAGTCCTCTCATTGGAAACAAGCTGCTGTTGTGTTGGATAAGCCGATTCAAGTTCAGTCAGGAGATGAACTTGTGCTCTGTGTCCAGTATCTCAACAGTAACATCAGCATTACAGTAAAACAGTGACCACCCATCAGGTAGTTGGTTTCTAATATGATTTCACTGTAAATAAAATCTCACATATAGCTGCAAAGATGCATGCGTTAATCATGGTCCAGGGCCACAGCGTTTGAGCTCTGCTTTGAGTCACTCTGCAGTTCAGCACAACTTGTTCAGCAAGAACTATGTTCTGCATCACAAATTTTGTAATTGAGATTTGATTATTGGATGAACAAAATAATAATTGGAGAATTCGCTCATGGAAAGTCTCTACATTGTGTGTGTATGAGAGAGAAAAAGTGTGTGAACAACTTTCCTACAGTATTTTGTTGCCTTCTGGAAAATGAATTGTCTAAAATTAAAAAAAAAAGATTGTACAGCTTTTCAGGTCTTACTTCTTGAAGGTAGTAAAGCAATGATGTGTAGTAGTAAAGGATAGCACTGTGTGTCCTCCAGTTTCTCTTCCCCTGTATTGCCTGGTGGGAGAGGCCTCTTCATTTACAAAAAAACTTTTTTTTTTACGAGACCGGAAATCCTTATCTTTTCATGTTAAAACAAAGCAAGAAAGTATCTTGCCACAACATGTACATATAACAAAAGCTAAAGTACTGTGGCACCTTTAAAGATTAGCAGATTCATTTCAATGTGAGCTTCAATGAATTACATTCCAGAAGTGGATTGTCATCCAAAAACTCTCACATGGAAATAAATGTGTTTGTCTTAAAGATGTCACAGTTCTTCAGGTTTTTCATTACATCTGCTGCAACAGGCTAATATAGCTGCCCTTTTGAAAACTGCAGTGTGCATTGAAGTAGGGTTTTAAGTTCAAACACTTTGATTCAAAACTTTTCTTTTGTAGAAACGAACAAATGAAGATCCAGTAACTACTTTTAGAAATGAAGAAAAAATTTCAGTTTAGAATTCCATACGGATGGGGAAAGTATTTTAATTTGGTAAAGCTATGTGCAGTAACAATCTCAGGGAGAAAAGGGAAAAAATAGTATGGACCCAGCTCAATAACTATTCCTTGTCATTAATGTACTCAGACAAGAAATGTAAAAGCATGAATGTAAAAGCATTCATAATCTTACTGGGTACATTCATGTTTTGTGTCATGTGTCACCAAGTCACATCCAAATTAAACTGACCCCAATAAGGCTTGGATGAATCCCAAACTGGAATTAAGATTGCCAGAAGAAACAACAACAACAACAACAGCAGCAGCAGCAGCCGCAGCAACAACAACAACAACAGCATCAGCAGCAGCAACAATTCTGTCAGATAATGCAACCTTCTCTCAGAAAATTGAGAGTGAGATACTTCAAGAGCCATTTCCAGTTCCACCACGACAATGAGTTGCTGAGCAAGGCGTTTGGACCCTGAGTCCCAGCCCTTTGCTCTATCCACTATACACTGGTACAAATGCACACATGGGCCCTTCAGATTATATGTATAATAACTTTGCGGAGGAAATATTGGAAATATGTTATTAGAAGTGCTGAAAAAACTAGGGGATAAATGGTACCTAAGCCTGTATAATTTAGGAGTCTCACTAGACTCCCTAGACTATTCATATACGGGTACATGGCCAAAAATATTGGCACTCTTGCAATTCTGTCAGATAATGCAACCTTCTCTCAGAAAATTGTTGCAATTGCAAAGGTTGTGGTACTCACATGTTCATTTCTTTGGTTTGCATTGGAACACCACAAAAAACAGAGAAGAAAAGTCAAATCGGATACAATCCCAAACAGAAACCCAAAAAATGCACTGGCCAAAACTAGGGGCACCCTGTCTAAATTGTTAAAAAAAAAATTGCTTTTCAAGCGTCTAAATTGTAAAAAAATTGCTTTTCAAGCATGTGATGCTGCTTTAATTTGTATTTAGACACACCTGTCGCAAGTAAGAGATGTAGGCAATATAGTAATCACACTTGCAACCAGTTAAGATGGAGAAAAGTTGACTCAACCTTTGTGTTGTATGTGACACTGAGCATGGAGAAAAGAATGAAGTGTAAAGAGTTGTCTAAGGATTTGTGAGAAAAAATTATGGAAAAACATCGACAATCTCAAGGCTACAAGTCCATTTCCAGAGATCTTAATGTTCCTGTGTCCACCGTGTGCAATATCATCAAGAGGTTTACAGCCCATGGCACTGTAGCTAACCTCCCTGGATGTGGACGGAAGAGCAAAATTACTGAAAAATTACAATGAAGGGAGGACACCACTGCTGACACAAAGGCATAAAAAAGCAAGACAGGAGTATGCCAAAACCTATGTGACAAAACCACAATCCTGGGAGAACGTACTGTGGACAGATGAGACAAAAGGAGAGCTTTTTGGTCAAGGACATCATGGCACTGTTTACAGAAAAATGAGGCATTCAAAGAACACAGTTCCTACAGTCAAACATGGTGGAGGTTGAAATATGTTTTGGGGTTGCTTTGCTGCTTCTGGCACTGGATGCCTTGACTGTGTGAACACTATCATGAAATCTGAGGATTACCAAAGAATTTGGGGGCACAACGTAGTGACCAGTGTCAGAAAGCTGCGTCTCCACCAGAGGTCATGGGTCGTCCAGCAGGACAATGACCCGAAACACACTTCAAAAAGCCCTCAGATAGGGATACAAGCAAAGTGCTGAAGAGTTCTGAAATGGCCAGCAATGAGTCCAGATCTGAATCCCATAGAACACCTGTGGGAGAAGGCATCCTTCAAATCTTGAAGGCCCTGGAGCAGTTTGCAAAAGAAGAGTGGTCCATAATTCCAGTGGAGAGGTGCAAGGAACTCATTCATGGTTACAGGAAGCGATTTATTTAAGTTATTTTTTCCAAACAGTGCTACCAAATATTAAGTTAAAGGTGCCAATAATTTTGGCCAGTGCATTTTGGGGTTTCTGTGTGGGATTGTATCAGATTTGACTTCTTCTATGGTTTTTTGTGTTCCAACGCAAAGCATTGAAATGAACATGTGAGTACCACAACATATGTAACTGCAACAACTTTCTGAGAGAAGGGTTGCATTTTCTGACAGAATTTCAAGGGTGCCAATATTTTTGGCCATGACTGTAGATTAACCAGGACTGTTTAAGCGTTCACTATAGATATCCTGTACATCGTTTCCTATATACCCTGGGGTAAGCCACTGTTTGCTGGCTGCACCTTGGGAGCATCATTGTTATGGTGAGACCCTCTGCCAAGCTTACAGATGGGCAAAGACCCCAACTCCCTCTTGCTTATGGCAGCCTAAGACAAGTAAGAGCACTCATAGAAACCGCTTCCAAAGAGTGAATTCTTCACAAACACACCTAGAAAAGATAGCCTCTAAGAACATCTTTATACCTAGAGGACAATGGAGCAGTAAAAGGTATGATCTCCCCTGTGCCACTTTCCCGCAGACTAAATCTGAGTACAGGTGAAAATAAACCAATAGTGAGCATTACATTTGTGGCTTCTCTTGAATCAAGAAATGTGGAGATGAAAGCAGAAGCAGACCAGAAGTAAGGTAACCCAATCTTCCAAAAACAATTTGCTACTACTATCTCATCTAAAAGCTACAATACATCTTAAGAGTTTAAATAAAATTTTATTTGTTTATGTACAATAGTGAATAAACATGATTTGCCTCTTTAACAAGTTTCACTTAAGGTCACATTAAATACAGCCATAAAGTATGCAGCCTAGTGAATAAGGCCAAGTATTTACAAACCACACTAGTACTGCAAAAGCACTTGTAGGATGAGTTCACTGTAGTCGCCACAAGATCAGATAAAAACTCAAGATCTATAAAGAGCATCTTACTATTGAAAATACCTTGAGATCTTTCTGAAGATGCCACTTAAAAATGCAAATCTTGCTGACATTTTTTTATATGAAAGTAAGACAGCAAGCATGCAATGCAGGTACAAATGTGATAATAGATCAGTAAAGTCCCCGTTGTTAATCAACGTGTAAAGTCCTCAGAGCAATGCTAGTTTGTTACATTCTTGTATCTTACATCTGTAGCACATAGATTTATTGATTCTACTTAAGAGTAGAAAGCAAATGTACCATGAATTCAAGAATTGGATGCATGGACATCATATTCATGTCATAGAGTACACACTATTTGCCAAACTAATGAAAGTTAACCTATACTATATGTCTGAGATTCATGAAAATACAACAGTACTGCTCAGTGATTTTCATTAAATCCTTATTCCATTTTATAACATTAAAATGCCTATATATGTTTACTCTGGAGCAACTTCCAGAACATTAAGGCTAAGATACACTTAATAGAGTAAAAATAGAGCACTGAGACAGTGGAACCTACAAAGCTTACACCCAAGCATGTGGATGCAACTCATGGTTAAGGAACAGGTAACTGTACAGTTTCTGGGCTGCATCTCTCATCATCCTTCGCCAGTAGCTATCTTAATAGGGCTGATGGGAATTAATAGACCAGCAACATATGGAGGATTATATGTTCATTTCCCCAGTCCTAGTGGACTGTACAGCAATACATGACACTGCTCTTATAAGTTCAGTCACTATTCCAACTGCATTCCCTAATTCTATAATTAACTCTAGCATATTAAAGACAGTATCCTGGATTTGGAATAGAACATGTATCACTGGTTTGAGGAGGATCAGGATTAATTCATCCTTCTTACTATGAACAGAAAAGAATCTGGATGAGGAGGCATTCCCTGTTCAACTTACAGTTACAATTATTTAATTGGTATTAGTTTTTTTTCCAGCAGGTTACTGTAAAACTTGAACTCAATGGTGTGCTAGTGCAAAACTGAAATTATGTTCTGTATGCATGTTTCATTGCAGAATAATACAGTATGCACTCTCATCTGCAGTTCAGGGATTCACTATTTTAACTGAATTCCCAACAGTGTCCTGTTCGTTTTGTGTGCTCCATGGCAGCTAACATTCTTCCAGGAAGAACAGGGTTTCCAAGGCCAAAAAACAAACATAGCAAGTAATCCCTGACGTACTTGAGGAAAGAGATTTAACTTTTAACTGCAGGCTTCTTTATCTGAACCATGGAATTTTCATTCTCCTCTGCAGCGTTACAGAAACCGTCAGACATTGGCTCAGTAGGGATTGTTGGGGTCACTGTATGTCCAAATCCTTGATAGTGGCCTACAGGTGATGTTGGTATGGAAGAGGCAGCAGAGATTGGGTCTTGAGTGGATGACGAGAGCAAACTTGTGTGTTCGTTCTGTTCAGGATCCTCACCAAAAAACATTTTTCTTGGTTGGCCAAAAACTGTCCTTCCTAAAGACAAGACATTACAAAACATGTTAATATTTCCATAATAGAAAAATTAGTAAAAGCAGTTTTAACAGGCTGTGTATATAATTTTAAAAATTGAAAATATTTACTGAAAACCTTTGCCTTGGATATATTTAATGCATTTCTCACTTACCAACATTGCGAACTTGTTCAGATACATCTGCCCTGATATCAGAAATATCCCACATTGCAAGAAAGGAATCAAAACATGATCCCTCTTCAGCTTCTTGCACGTAAGGCTTGTAAGAAAAACTGTAATGGTGAGCAATTGCAGCAAAGAACATTTCCACACAGATAATAAAATCCTGAAAGAAGAGGAGGAAAAAACACTTCCATGTAATGCCCCAATTATAATCATCATATTTATTATTTATTTATTTCGCTGATTTTTATACCATCCAATTAGTGTGATGAAGTTAATCACTAGTGCGGGCAAAAGCAAAACAAATCATATAAGTCAGATCATAAAATTCTAAACCTGGATGGCACTACAATTTCATAATAAATTGACAAGGCACAAGGTCGAATTCATACAAGATTGCCATCAAAACCCTTTCTAAAGTTTTTGTATAGAACGAATGTCAACTTCTTCCCACTTATCCCTTACAGCTAAATGTGTATATTTATATAAGGACTGCAACTGTGTAGGTCACAGAGATGCCCAATCATCATACAGCTGGAATGTCAGTTTAAAGTTAGACACCAAAAGTTTACTTTCATATTTGCAGTTATTATACATCAGCTTGAGGAGTGGAACTGCCAGGCCAGCCATTTTGCAGCTATAACCCATTCTCTAAGTGAGAAAGAAGTCATTGTGTGAATTCATAATGCTTTTAGCACTAAAAAACCCAATCAGCCAATTCCAAGTGATACTTAAGGGTGGAGAGTTGTCTTAGTAACAGCTGCTTCTACTTACCTGTAGACCAGTTGCCACAGCTTCAACACTTTGCCATTCCCATGTGTGCTTTTCAGAGATAACACCAACTTTCACCAATATTGCAATAAGTACAGCTTGCCTGTTTAAAAAGTGACATTGTTGAAAGAGATTAGGGTACTACCACAATCAACATCCCATAGTCCAGAGAGGGTTTTGCACAACTTTTCAGTAAGTTTGTCAATTTAAAAAAAAAAGTCAAAGACCAGTGTTGAAATGTAATTAAGATGACAAAGTGCACCACTTGAGGTGAGGGCTAGGAACATAGATGAAGTTACAAGCCCTGCAATCACTGGGATGGTGAATGGGCCGAAGCAGAATAAAGAAACCTCCAGGGGAAAAAACAGTGTGATGGGCTGAATGAAAGAAGAGAAGCTGGAAATCTTCTAACTTAAATAATGATTGTCCATTCTTCTGAAGTGAGTTCTCCAATACTATCCCATTTCTAAGGCAGATTGATGCAGGAGAAAAGGAGATTTTTAAGCTCCACAAGTTCAACAAGCCAAGTACACGGAATATATTGAGTAAGAGTGCTTAACATTTGGTTGATGACACCCTGAGTTATTTTTAAGTTGGATGAACAACCAAGGGGATTTTTCAGGTCTGCAATTACCATATTTTTCCGGATATAAAACAACACTTCCTAAAATCAGGAAAAATGGAGGGTGGTCTTATACACGGGTGGAGGCGGAAGCGAAGGAGCAGCCACACTCGGGCACCTCTCACAGCTGTCCACTGACTACTGCTGCCAGGTTGTCTCCTCGAGTACCACTCGCAGGCTCCTTTCAGGCAGGAGAGAAGGCGGCGACATGAGCTGGAGGTGAGCCCCAGCAGAGGCGATCTGGTGGCAGCAACAGGAGGTGGAAGCGAAGGAGCAGCTGCACTTGGCCGCCCCTTGTGGCTATCCATTGAGTGCAGCCCCCCCCCCGATCGCCTCCTCCAGCACCACTAACAGGCTCCCTTTGGGCAGAGGACAAGGCGGCAATGTGAGCTGAAGATGAGCCCCGGCAGTGGCGATCAGGCGGTGGCAGCATCAGGAGGTGAAGGAGAAGCCGCGCTAGACTGCCCCTTGCGGCTGCCTACCTACTGCTGCCATTGCCGTCCAATCGCCCCCTCCAGCACCACTGCCTGGGCTCACCTCCAGCTCACGCCACTGCCTTGCCCCTGCTCAAAGGGAGCCTGTGAGTGGCACTGGAGGAGATGATCGGGCGGTGGCGGCAGTCAAGGGGAAGCCAAGCATGGCTGCTCCTTTGCCTACGCCTCCACAAAGGATCAAAATTGGGGATTGTTTTATACTTTGGGGGTGTTATACACAGAAAAATATGGTAAGTGCATGCATTTGCCCCCAAACAGGACATACTCCAGCACCTTGTCAATTACCCATGACAAGTTACACAAACATCATTAGGAGGCTGGCTGTTGTATTTAGATGTTAACTTAGATAAAACCTTCAGTCCTGCTGTGTAACTAGGCGTTAAATGGAAAACTTGGAGGGGGAGGACTTCACTTACCAAAAAGAAACAAACACCACCATCTTCACACACAGAAATTTCCCTACAGGTCTGATAGGGTTCAGTTCATCCCGCAGTACTTTATAAAACAATACAAGGCAGTACATAGCAAACTAAAAAAGAGAGAAATAAAAATGCTTAGCTGCCTTTTTTAAAAAAACACATTGGTTGTATAAACAGTTTTAGACAGATAAATTCCAAAGTATATCAAGCCTATTCAATTCTTGTTTCAAATATCTAAAACAGTATTTCTGTGTATCTAAAAAAATGGCTGCTGCATTTCTCTTGCATAAAGAGAACCTCCTCCACCTAGGCTTTTAATTTTCAGTACAGCAAGTTTCAAAACTGTTTTTCAGCTACTTGCATGTTTCAGTTAAACTGAATACAACTCCAAGCAGCTACCAAGCCAGACTGTTCTGGTTCTTCGCAAGCACATATATAAAACATTGTCTGTGGACACCAGTGGAGTATATGAAATACATGTTCTCAGCACAAATTATTGCATATTCAGTGTTGGCAAGAAGCTTAGACTAATGCCATATTGCCACCAACCTTCACCAACGTAACAGGACAGTGGAGACAGCCCATTTATGAGTACCAACACTTCCATTTTGTGGTATTCATACTAAGTCTACTTCATTTAATAGCTGAAAAAGCACAACTATCTAGTGACTAATCATTGGACATAAGGTCAGATGAGACAGACAAGGTAATATCACCCATTAGTGCTGTCTTATTTGGAAGATGTCCCATTTACTGAGATTTTAAAAACTAGAACATTTTTAATCTAATCTTTAATATAACTCATATTTCTGTATATGTATTTTGGGATTTTTTTTAAAAAACCATAATGCTTGCACAGTTTAATCACAAATAAAATCTTAATTTTTAAAAAAGAAGAGATTTGTTTAACTTCACTGCAAAACAGACAAAAGACTAGAATCTCAATACTCACAAGCTGGGATAAGTTGTTGAAAAAAACCAAGTATGTCCAAGCATTTTTGAAGCTGAAGTTTCCTTCATCATATACGCCTACCAATTCACAGATTCTAAAGAGTTTAACATAAGAAATTATACACAAAACCCAGGGACTATGCTGGAGAGGAAATAAATCACGTTAAAATAATGGGATTTGCTTTTGAGGAAAACGTATTATATTTATTCAGCTTGTTGAATTATTTATTATGTTTATTATATTATTTTTTATATAGCTTATATCCCACCATTGTCACTGCTGCCACTGCCCTACTATGTTGATTACAGCATCAATAACAGTGCTATAACTCCTTTAAACTCAAGAAAGCACACTTAATAGTAGCTGAAAGAACTGAGCAGTCACACCATTACACCATATTTTGAGATGAGACAGAACAGATGTAAAACCTTTGTCTTTAGCAGCATACATTTTGGCTGGGCAGGGCAGGGCAACTAATAATTGTTTCTTTATGATAAAACAAGCATATACCTTTCATACATTCCCTCGGGCAGTAGCTGCAAGGCGTGGTAAGCACCTCTTTATAGAAACCTCTCTGCAACCTATGACACTAACGTTAAACTCTCTGGATAAGATACAAATTGGCATCACTTTGAAACAGAATTGTGCACTGCCACCTGACGTTTAAAAAATCCCTACCCTTTTGGCAGAAAATACCAGACGCATTCCCAGAACTACCTACCTAGCAACTGTATTTTTGGACTGATCCTTACTCTATGTTTAACATCTGATAGCAAACTTTCTTTGAATATCAAATACCTGATCATCAGGTTGGTCAGATGTTGGAAAAAGAATCAGAATAAGAAAAGCCAAAATTACCAACATAACTAAACGAATACATAGAGGTTCCTGACTGGGACTACTTCCCCTAGTACTACTGTTCGACCTACAATAAATTTCTCTCCAAATGACGTCTAAAAGATATAATTCCTATTCATACTCCCTAAGAATTTTCCTGAAGAGATACATGTAACTTATTTACAATAAGTAAATTTACAATAACTTATTTCAGTCGTTCCACGTGCATAGCAACTCAATTTCAATACGTTAGTTGCTAGTTGATAAGACCATTAAGATTATAGAGAAAGGAAAACTAAATGGCATCACTATGGTTCTGCCTTAGAGCCCAAAGGCGTTTTGGGTCTATGAAAGAAAGCAGGGGAAGGCAACTGCATAACTACCACAGGTGTAGATCAACAAAATATATGAGTATTTATTTATTTTATTTATTTATTGGACTTATATACCGCCCCATAGCGCTACAAGCACTCTCCGGGCGGTTTACAATTTTTTTTTTAATTATACAGGCTACACATTGCCCCCCCAGCAAGCTGGGTACTCATTTTACCGACCTCGGAAGGATGGAAGGCTGAGTCAACCTTGAGCCGGCTACCTGGGATTTGAACCCCAGGTCGTGAGCACAGTTTTTTTTTTAGCTGCAGTACAGCGTTTTAACCACTGCGCCACGAGTACTCGCCACGAGTACATAGGATTTCAAGACAAATGCTATTTTTTTAATACTTACAAAGCAATGATGGTGGTGAATGGCCTGACAACTGTATACTGAAGAACACCAAGCTTACATCGGAACAACAACACCCTGCAGAAAAGTCACAGAAGAAAAACAGAACATAAGCAGCTCTGCTCACTTTTATTGTAACTACTTACTATTAGAACAATACAAACATTCTGTACATTGCAGAAAGCAACTGAGAGCAAGACTGAAATTGTTTATGTAATCAAATTTTAAAGATATGCATACTCATAGCAATTATGGCAAGGAGAAAAGACTTTTGCTTTATTTTCAGAGACACATTCTGCAAATATTTAAAACTCGCTCTACATGTAGAACAACTATTTCCACTTCAGAAACATTAACTCCATTCAGTGATTGTTCAAAGCTTCTTAAAACATGCCTTAGGAATCCAATCTGCCATGAATGCAGCCTCCTCCCTCATAACTTCCCTTTCTTCCTGTCGTATGTACACACAGTTTTGAAGAAAAAGTGTATGATGCACTTACTCTCCCATAGCCCATGGTGGACAGCAACACAGAGGTGGCAGATGTTTTTGCTGATCTTTGGCTTCTATAATTAACACCAGATTTGGATAACGATTGGTCAAGTAACTTGAAAGAAATACCATGAAGTTGTAGATGACGTATGCTTCATAGCATTCCCTACAAGTATCCACATATATTGCAATGTTGGGATACTTCAATGCTATCCACTGTTAAAGAGGAAAATGTGATTAGAACACACTTTGCAGTGTGCACAAAGCAGGCTATACAGAGATTTCACATTGGACACACATCAGAAGTCTCAGTATTGCCTATTAACAATTCATAGTTAAGAAAATCTTTTACTCGGTCCTTTGTAAGTCATGCTAAGATAAACTCAGTTCTTACTAGTTATACAGTACTGAGCACATGCAGAGAAGCAACATTGACAGCTTTTATATGCATACAGTATTTTACACAAATGGGCTTATCTAAGTTGCGTAATATATTCTTTTCCAATGCTGTATAAGAAGCAACAACTCTACAACTGCATCTTCATCCACAACTTTGATTTTCTGCAAGTTAACTCAACAGAAATGAGTACACTGGCCCAAAACACCACTTTTATTTTTACAAATATACTGTATCACGCGAGAGTCAGAAACATGAAATGCTCCTGAGATAGCTCAGTCGGGCTCTATACAACAAAAAGAACACAGTAAGTTGACAAACTATGAAACAAACAAACAAACAAACAAAAAGACACTTACACTGTCTAGACTGTAAATTGGCACCATCCAGAGAATCCTGTCATAATGAAACATATTTGCAGTTAATCCAAGTGTTTGTATAACTGCATGGAATAATCAGCAGCAATACAGATGAAGAGTTACCTTATTATTGGCTTCTGTAATTCAGGCTGAGTATAATGAACTAAATGTTGTAATATTCCCCAAAGAGATATTGGTATTGTCATCAATAAAAAGATTCCAGCAATAAACCATGCCTTGGTATGGATTCCAACCTTGAAGAACAACAACAAAAAACAAGGAGGGAAAGAAAAGCACAGGTGTGAGAAATTATACAGTACATGGTAATTTAAGGAACAATGACACAAAACATAAAAGCAAATGGTATGACGTAACTTGCATGCTAACTGTACGCATCAGGTACTTATTCAAAATGTTTAGTTTTCAAAAACAATCCATCATTTAGTGACACAAACCAAATTCACACCCAACTGGGTAACAAAGACAAAGCTATCATTTGCATTCCTACTACCAAACTTTCCCTGTCACAGCAGCTGTGTGAGAACATCTGGAGAGGCAAGCAGGCATCAAACCTGGTTCTTGGATCAGATGGAAGTAAACATCAAGGAACAACATGTACTATGGAATGGCCGATCATGGCATCAACTGAAGACCAATGGGAGTTCTCAAACATCATGGACTCTTGACACCAAACAAATGTACTGCAGGCTAAAGTAAGCATCCAGCAGGTAAAAATAGTTATTTGGTTTAATTTGGCTTAATTTGTTCCTAGAGGTTTTAACTAAATTCCTAATCCCAATTCTGTTAGAGACAGGTCATGTTCCTGGGCATTCTTTCCTCCCCTAGCCAAATAAATATATATATTTTCTTGGGTGTTTCTAAAAGGCAGACAAGGGGGAATGTGGGGGGCAGATTGCCTGGTTGTTCTCTATTTTAAGAGATGGCCATACATTCCAAACTGCTAGATTCTTAATGGTCGATTAAAGGTATCACCTCTTCATGCATTGATACTGTTTCCACAACCATGCAGCATTTCTCAGATTTTTTCCTGTGTAAAGATTTACTTTATTTCATTGAGGGATATTATTTTAAAAGTTCTCTTTTAATTCAAATTTTAGTTGTCTCTTCTAGGGACACAGGGAGATAAACACACCTGTAAATAATGCAGGCCTGCTGTTAGCTTTCCAAAGACAGAATAGGATATTAACTAACAGCATACATTAAATCCAACATCTATGCAGAATAATCCTGACAATGCTATCACCCTGTTTCATTAATTGCTTCAATCTTATGTCCAGGATGAAAACTCTATAGTCCTTCAAATGTTGTTGGACTTTAATTCCCTTGAGCCCCACTCAGAGCAGCCAACAGTTAGAGATGACTAAAGGCCAACAACATATAGAACCTACCTCTTTCTCATGCCTTCCCCTACTTCCATTGCAACACAAAAATTTCCACAGACTTCCAATTGATTTTACAACAGAGACAAGAGGAATCCCCTTGATCATCTTCCAGGCATTTCAGTGTCCTTGCTCCCACACTACAAAGTGCTGCATTTGCAATAGCTAAATGAGTTGTGTCTATAACAATAACAGCCATGTGCTGTCAAGTCAGTTCTGACTTACGGTGATTAGAGATGAGCATGAACCGTAAATTGGCCTGACTTCCACACAGATGTTCCACAGGCGCCGCACACTTCCCGCCGTCATCTTCACGCGATCGCCCCATTCACTGGCAGCACCATGCTTCTCTGCCTTCTCCACAGGATCATCCACTCAGGCAAGGAAGTGAGGCAGGGAAACCCACGGTGCTGCTGGTGAGTGGAGGATTTTATGGAAAAGGCAGAGGAGGAAAACACACTGCTGCCTATAAGTGGGCAAATACATGGAGAAGGCAGGGAGGAAAGCATGTTGCTACTGATGAGCGGGCAACTGGGCCCGAAGACAAAGCTATCATTTGCATTCCTACTCCCAAACTCTTCTTCCCAAAGAAGAGGGAAGCGTGTGACACCCACAAAGCATTTGTGCAGCTGGTGCCCATCTTTAACAGGCATTTCCAGGGTTTTCTAGGTAATGAATATATTTAACAGTGACCATTTCCAGGGTTTTCTAGGTAATGAATATCAGAAGTGGTTTACTATTCCCTTCTTCTAGAAGTGCCCTGGGACTGTGCAGCTTGCCCAAGGCTGCATAGGCTGGCTCTACTCACAGGAGGCACAGTGGGGAATCAAACTCCAAGTCTCTGGCTCCACAGCCAGATACTTAAACCACTGAGCTATCCAGCCAGGTGTTGTATTTATATAGGGCCCTGTTTCTAGAAGTCACTGACATCATCCCTCGCAGGAAGCTACTTTAAACAAAATAATATGATTGGTCCAACTATCCAGTTTTCTCTTACCTGGTGCTTCCAACAGCTGTGTATGTTATGTGTCATCCAGTCAGAACTCTAACAGGCCTTTCAAGGTAAGTGACCTTTCTAGAAGTCACTGACATCATCCCTCACAGGAAGCTACTTTAAACAAAATAATATCATTGGTCCAACTAACCAGTTTTCCCTTACCTGGTGCTTCCTACAGCTGTGTAATGTGTCATCCACTCACAACTCTAACAGGCCTTTCAAGGTAAGTGACCTCATTTTACCAGTGCCACCATCACCACCATCCCACTGTTACCATTAGTTTCCATGGCTTAGCAGGGATTCAAACCTGTATCTCCTGAGTCTTAGTCTGTCACTTTATCCAGTACACCACACTGGGTATCCCCTTCTAGAGCTATTGTATCACTTATCACATAATTTCCAGCCGACACAGTCATTGGTAGGAAGGAATGGTGTGCGCTGTAGTTCAACATATCAGGACACCCAACGAGAGAAGCCTGTCAACACTTTAGCACAGAACCTCTCTAGGGCTTTAGCAAGTCTTTCCCAGCTTTTGTAGAGAAGATAACAGGAACTGGATCTCAAAACTTTTGCATGCAAAACCTATGTTTTGCCAGTAAACATCATGTAAACTTCTTTTTGGTACTTGCGGTCAAGCAAACACGTATCTGAGTTTTGCAACTCACCTTGATCCCAGGACAAGTCCCTCCAGAGCCAATTTGGAGCGAGGGAGATTTTTTTCCCCTTTGGCGACATCCCTTCTCAACCACCCAGAGGACGGAGCAAAGGTTATTTCTAATCTGAAATGAATGTTGGCTAACCCAGGTCCGATATAGCCCTACCACAAGGACAGGATGCGGCCCCTATATCGCGGAAGGCCGGCTGGGCCTGCAATCTGTCAGCCAAGGAGAGGAATAACCGGGGCTGGACGGAACAATTCAAGCCCGTACGCCTCTACTCTCCTGTATGTACTTCCTCGCTTGCCGCTTCCAGGGACGCAGCGGCTGCTCTGGCGCACGAAGGCGCTCCAGCAGTCCAGTCATTTGGGGCCCCTCTCCAGCCGTCCACAAGGCCGGATTTCCCTGCCTTCTCTTCGGCCGGTGCCCACAAAAAAAGCAAAGCCGCCCAAGAAGGCAGGAACGAAAAAAAAAGGCAAGAAGCCGATCCCAGCAAATCCAACCATCACTTTAGGCGCTCCGGGTGTCCTCCTCTTTTTTTATTATTAACTGAAGAGTCTTGGGGCACCGTAAAGACCACACAAGTTTTATTTATGCGCGCAAGCTTTCGGAAACCACAGGCCTCTTTTTCAGAGGCATGGAGTCTTTCCGGGGTGTGTTGACTCATCGCGGCGGCGAAGAGGAAGGAACCGAAAGGGTGCCCACCCACACCCACATCCCCCTGAAGTCCTCTTCCCCTCCGAGGCGCCCTGCCTCCCTCCCTCACCCACCTCCAGTTTCTGCAGCTCCCATATGCAGAGCGGCAGGGCTATCAGGAGCCCCACGATGTAGACCGTGGCCACCAAGGGCCGGATCCAGCGCCGCCAGTTCCCGC